AGACCTCCACTTAAGGATCTTTAGCTACTCCTTTGTATTTGTGTGTGTGCGCGTGTGCATGCATGTGTGTGCGTGTGCATGTGTGCACGCAGGTGTGTGTGCTTGCACATGCTTGCACATGTATACATGGGGCAGGAGACAAAAGAGAGATAAAGGAAACTTGATAAGAAAATCAGTTTGTTTAGGGCCATTCTAACCGGAAAACTCTGTAACCTTGAAAATGTAAACTTGATACACAAAAAAGGAAAAAGTCTGAAAATTTTATTAAACGGAAAAGTGAAAAATGACAATAATTTGACTGGGAGAGATATGTAAATTGCCTGCTAAATATTAAGTATTCAGTTGTAAATTGAATTGTAAATTCTTAAACTCAAGTTCTGCTGCTCCAGCAAATTGTCAAAAGAATCACCATTTACAGTTGTGAGCTTTCTCACTTACTGCTAGTGATTATCATCAGAAAAACCTGCATAAACTTTTGTCAAATGGTGGAGAAACTTAGACGTCACAGTCAATAATTTTATGTTTATGCAACAGATTGACTTAGATAGATGAATAATACTCCTCTCTAAATTCTCCCTTTGGTTAAATTTGGGAATGACTATCCTAAATAGGTAGGTAGGTAGATAGACACTCGCTGCATGCTTATTTTTAATAATTTAAGAATCCTTAATATTCTTAAATATTTTTCACATCTTATTCTCTCTTTCCCATATATATTGGTCATTTTGAAACAGGGTCTTGCTATGGGGTTCAGGCTGGCCTTGAGCACACTTGGCAGCCCAGACAACCCACAACAATCCTCTTGCCTCGGCTTCCTAAGAGCTAGGATTACAAGCATTTGCCATGACACCTGGCTATATCAAAATATTTTTTGATAGGTTTTATTTTGTTCACTTGCTTTTCTGCCTAAATTCTTGAAAGAAGTAAAAAGCAAAGGACAGTGAAAAGTTTTACTTCAAGACATGACAATACAGTAATTATCTTAAGCAAAAAACTCAGGCTAATATTTCAGAGATGAAAAATATTTTTTAAATTTACTAATAAACATTAGGTTATTAATAATAATTAGCTAATTAATCCTGTCAGCATATCTTTATGAACCTAACAAGAAGAACTACACATATTTTTGAGAGTTCACAGAACAGCTGATTCTTTAATGGAAAGTCCACTGGAAAATAGGAATTAAAATGGCATTTCCTTAATTATTAGTATAGTCAAGTAAACAAATTTCAGTGTCATTCAAAGAAACACATAATCTTCTGTAATTACAAAATATTGTGCATGTATTTTATTTAATGCTTTCTTATTTTTCAGGCATACTTCTACCCAAAGTACATAAATATTGGTAAAAATGACAATATGAAATCATAACTTTGTAGTGCAGTGATCATAGAAAATGCTGTGTGTGCTCCAAATTTCTTCTAAGTATTCAGTAATCTCTGTTACAGTTCCTTGTTCAGAGAGAAAGCAAAGTACATTACTTTGCTATGTGACATTGAGTTTTTATAATTTTCTGCTTTTCAGTACTAAAGCAATGTGAGTATCCCCTGGCTTCTTTAGATTAATCATCTTGAATGGGCCATTAGTTTATAAACTTTGTTACCCGTTGGAAGCAACTAGGCATCATTAAGAAATACCGATATTTCCTTTCTGCATTTACATTGTGATTAAATTAATAGTGGCAGGTATATTGCAATTTTAATATCTTTTGAGGCGATTCTAATATGTAACACAGTTTGGGAACTACTGGTCAAAGACCTATCATTTTTTCCCTAACGAACATTGTCATTAGGTCTGTCAAGGCAAATCATGTGATCATAGAAAAATAAATCAGAGTCGCCAGGGAAACTTGAAAAATTACAGTTGTTTAGACTTCGCTCCCAGAGATCCTAACTCAATTGGCTTGATGTGTAATCAGCTATGATCATCCCCAAAGATTCTAATATTTTCTTAGGGTAGAAATCTAAGAAGCACTGAGCTGAATGCGCCATAGACATGAAATCATGATCTACTGCCTTTATCTACAAGTCACTTACTTCTCATCCCCCTTGAAGGCAAACAGCTGGTCAGGACACTTGTTAACTTAGTCCTGTTTCCTGCAGTGGTAGATCATCTCTCTTGCTGCCCACCTCCCTTCTCCTTTCCATCCTCCTTCTGTTTCTTTGCTTCTTCTGATCATTCCTGGCTGCCCCAAGACTCACAATACTGTTTTCTTCCCACATGGTAGAAATGAATTCTGCTATATCTTGTCCTCTGACATTTACTCAATTAACAAACCCCGAACACAGTGGTAGCATCGTGTAAGCAGTTGCAGAATGAATCTCAAAATATCAAAGCATTCACAAATAATTGCCTCGAAAAGTCAAAAGTTGTTTTGTTTAGTTCTTGTTGCTGTGTGTTTGTTTGTTAGTTTTACCTTTAGGATAATTGTAAAAAAACCAAGTGAAAAAATAGATGACGTCTAGAGAACAAATCGTCTTTCTGTGGGAAGGGATACGATTTTTGGTGTTGCATGTGTCACTCAGTGCTACTATTCTCCATTAAAATCGTTACATCTCTTCAGGATTTTGTTATCTCTTGGTAACTATAATGGTTAAAAAATTTTGACTACACTCAAGAGATGTCAAAGTAAAATAAATTCAAGGATGCTGAAGTTTTTTTTTTGGAGGGGAATGAGTTTCTTTCTGTCCCACTCTCAAAAAAATGTTACTTTTAGATATTCATCACACTTGGATATAGGATTACACTACAGTGGGGTGAACTGAGATTTTAATCAGAATGATTAAAATCTTCCAAAAACCTCTAATGACTTTAGCTATTCAGCTTAATAATACTCCTCATTCAATTACTGACAATATAATTGATCTCATATTTCTCTATTCTACTAGCTAATAAATAGTTTTTTCAGCTACAATAGCACATATTAAAATCCAAAATAATTATTGTGCCTTAATACAATTGACCTTTATGATACATAAGTTGATTATGTGTTTTTGTAGTTACAATAGTACCTCTGTTCACAAACACTTCTGTTTGTGCACAAATTGGTTATCAAGCAGAAGCATTTGGCATAATTTTGCTTCAGTTCACAGTTCATGAACTCTGCATCAGGTGATGTTGGACTTTGTAGGGAAATTTGATTTGGTTCATGACCAAAATCCTGGAACAAATTAAGTTCATGAACTGAGATACCACTGTATAAAAAAATCTGTGATACATGTATAAAATGTATTTTATATTTTTACATTCATTGTGGTCCCATAGTCAGATGATTATTGTATGACTGTCATATATGCTCCATTTCTTGTTCACTAAGTTTTCTCCTTCATGGAGATACTTAGTAAATTTCTTTAGTATAATCCCATGCTGGACATTTATAGACATCTGTATATATAAACATATGAAAGTGTATATGCATATATTTGTGTACCTTTTTTAAAAGGCAGGTTTAGACCAGCATTTGAACTCACTTTGTAATTCAAACTGGCCTGAAACTCTAAGCAATCCTCCTGCTTCAGCCTTCCAAGTGCTGAGATTTGAGGGTTGTACATGCCAGGCAGTGTACATATTTTTAAACCTAGTGATCTTTATTTTTTTGACAGTCTGAAAATTGAGAATTGATACATTGAGTCTATATTTATCTTATGTAAATTTAGTAAAAAGCACTTAAATTCCTTCCTGATTAACACCTTCATTTAAAAATAAACTCTTCATAAAGGAAACATTTTTAGTGTATTTGCTATGGATACTGCGCAACAAGCACCTTCATGAATCTTGAATTTATCACATGATTTAGCCATGGACAAAGGTTTCATGTATTAGGATAGTGTGCTGTGACTAGGTCACAACTGAAACTACGTGAAGATATGCATTAAATTTATTTTCATATTGACTAAAGATAACTTGATTAAAACTTTTTATTTTTTATAATATCCAGCAGCCAATTTTTGAAAAAACAATTAGCTGCAATGGTATTTTTAAGGTAAATAATTTGTTTACTCTTAAAAACATTTTTAGTAATAAGCCATCAAACATAATTATTTTTAGTATGAGAACAATTGATAGAATTAATTTTCTGATAGTATTTTCATTTACTGTACGCCTTCGGTTGGAATTTAAGACACAATTACCTGTTATGTTTTTGAGACATGCACTAAAAATTTTTATAAAAATTAAATTATATCTCCCTTGGGTTTTTATAACTATACCATGATTCTGTCTCCCCATACTCCAGCAGCTGGAGAGAAATTTATACTGTATTGTGATTTTAATGTTTACACATTGTCAATATTTTAAATGACTAAACTTTGCTTTTCATTTATAAGCCTGTTGAAGTGAAAATTTCTAAGGAGAAGTTCGATACACTGATTTCTGATTTTTTATACATACGTTTCTCCCTTGGCATCGAGGTCCCTAAGTTAGAATCATACAACTAAACAGCTTTTAAAACGATCATCAGTCAAGGAGTCACTGAGAGTTTATCATACTTCAGAGAAAGTTGTGATAAAGGCCAAGTCAGCTTTGGTAAAGGCTACTCAAAAATGGACATTTTTGCTAATAGTTGCTCCTTTTTTCTAATAGGGAACAATCACTAAAGGGTGAGAAAATTGTCAAGGTTTCCATTCTTCATTACAACTCATGATTTGCAGTATGTTTTTCTGAACAACCTGAGTTTTGTTTTGATGCATGACACAGGCATATGTATTTTCATAGCATTAAAGACCCTTGAACGTATACTTTGTGAGATCGTAAATTAGAATATAATTAATATGTAAGCAACACCCGTACCTTACTTCATGTGACAAATCCTATTTATACACAATGATCTTATGAACTAATTTTCCCACCTGGGATAATCAGTAAATTTAGTTTTGAATTATGTACAGAAATTCCCTGATTGTGTCTATTGATAGCAGCACATTGTTTATAATAAGATATTTTTTAGAGACTGAGTCTCTTAACATTTCCTCTTGCCCGTACATAAAAAATACAAGGGACTATTATTCTTTTGTATGCTTTAATATCACATATTGACAATAATTTGATGAAATAATTAGGAAAATAATATTACAAAGTATAGGAACCAGTGTCTCAAGATTGAGTTCATTTTAAAAAGATACCTTTATATTAATAGTAGTGAAAATAAAGATGTGACTAAAAACAGAATACATGTATTTTAGGGGAAAAAATGAAAATTATTCAGGAAAGAAACAGAAGTAGCACATCATTTTACTATACCCTTAATTAATTGTGAAATTTTGTGCTGTGAAATATAGTTCAACATGTTCCGGCTGTTTGGATTTTGAAATACTAAATGAAAGATGTATGGAATCAATATTACCTTTTGGCATTTTTGTTACAGTTATATAATAGCTTTCTTCAAAGGTGTAGAGAGAAATACTATTTTTATCTTCATCTACAAAAAATGAACATGCTATTTAAAGGGCAAATCTATTAATTAGAGATCCACGCAGCTTTCTTTCTTGCTAATGTAATCATTAAATTGATTTTTCCAGTCTGTCATGTAATTGTTCCAGAGATGGAAGCCTGCTTTCCACTTCTGTTCAACTTCATCAAGATTTCCTGCAAAATACGGAATAAGCGAATTAATGTAAAGTTTAATTCATTTACATTAATTGAAAATAATTTTGTTTACAGATGGCATTTTCTCCAAATATATCACCTAGTAATTTTTATTCTTTATTAATGTATTTAATTCTACCTGAAAGCCTTAATAAATTTTTAAATATTAGATGAAATGCAGATAAGATAGGTATAAACTGTACATGAAATATTACAATACATTAAATGAGAAAATTAGATATTATCCTTATTTTCTTTATTTACCACAAATAGACATAGATATTACTGTCATTAACTGATTCCTTTTTCTTTTTGATTTTAGAGACTTGTTCTCAATGATTTTGCAATCCAGGCTCACCTCAAACTCCTGACTCATTTCAACAAAACAAACAAATTTCATATGTTGCATCTCCTTTGTGTGTGGGGTGTGTGCTTGTGTGCTTGCATATTTAATATATATGTAATTACATATCAGGGCATTATTTTAAGTAAAATGCTTATATACTAATATTTCCTAAACCACAAAAATTCCATATATGCTGCAGTCATTATACCATATGTTAATTACTAACTATGCTTAGTTGCTACTTCCATTGCCTATCATGTGGAAGCAGTTTAATAATGGTTTAATAAAAGAGAAATATGACTCATTTTCTCTATTGTCAAGTAATTTCCAAATATGTTTGCGTTAATGGAAATTAATTTTTATCAAAAAAATATTGTGAGGCAGTGAACTAAAAAAGATGCCTATGTATTTCAAGAATCTTTAGATCTTTTTTTTGGGGGGGGAATATATATATATATATATATATATATATATATATATATATATGTCATGGCTTATGTTTGTGTCCCCCAGGCCTCATGAGTTTGCATTGTTCATTTGTGATGGTTCATTGTCTAGTGCTTGGATTGATGGTGTCAGTGCTCCACCCACATAGGGGTGGAGCCAGGATGTGTGTATATATATATATACAGAAAGGGAAAGAGAGAGGGAGAGAGAGAGGGAGAGAGAGAGGGAGAGAGAGAGAGAGAGAGAGAGAGAGAGAGAGAGAGAGAGAGAGAGAGAGAGTTTTGTTATGTAGCTTAGGCTGCCTTCAACTCACTATGTGGCCCAGGCTGGCCTCAAATTTGTAGTAATCCTCCTGTGTCTGCCTCTCAAGTACTGTGATTAAAGGCATGCAACAACACAATGGCCTGAAATCTTTTGTATTCGAAGTGTATTGTAGAAAAGTTTGTGAGCATTAGAAGCCCTAAAATTACAAATTTAACCACATACTTGTTTCTGATATAAGCAGATATAATGAGATTAGAAGATGATTTCATTTATTTAAATCTACAAGCATTTCACATATTTAAAACTCTATCTTTTAGTTATTTAAGGTACTAAGCTAGTCTTAAAAATTAAATACAAAATTTATGTTTTCAAGTATCTTGAAAATAAGAGCTTGAAAATTTGAAGTATATAATTTCCAGTTAAGAATTTTTAAAACTAAGAGATAACTTTGTAGAAAATTAATTTGACAAAGATAATGTAGTGATCCAATTTAAGATTATATGAATATCAAATTGCATAAAACATTTTATTACCATTAAAATATTACTTATAATTAAGGAACACTTAGGTTGGAAATGTTTATAATGCTTGCACTTTGAGAAAATATTTGATTATTTATATTAAGCTTCCAATTTTCAGGTAAAAATGGTCTTCAAAGGGTCAATTATTATAATTTTTGGTGAATAACACAACTTTCTAATGGGTCAAAAATCATTAAGGAATAAAGATGACAAATATAACAAATGATTATCTTTATGATGTTTTTAAGTGATAATTAAATGTTTCAAATATTATACAAGTTAAGGAGTCTAAAGTTCAAAAATAAAATTTTTGATAGAACAAATTATTGCTAATTTAGCATTCACTATGAATTTTTATATTTATAAAATGTAATTTTTATCTGACTTTCTTTCCTAGTTCATGGAATAGCACCAAATCTATTGATTCTTATACATGCAAATTTATTTTATATGTCAGTCAAATGTTTACACAATTTAATCTGTTGAAAAACTTTTTAGTACACAATTGGTCTATAAACCTGGATACTTTCTTGCGTTTTAAAAGTAGTAAGTACTGATTGATACAATAAAATGTGACACATTTATTTTCTAATAGAGCTCAAAAGAAATTAATAAATGATAAAGTTTGAGAACTCTAAAATGATTTAAAACCAAAGTTAATAGATTTTCTCTATTATTTATTTTCTTTCTTTTCCTATCTTCTTTCTTTTCCGTTTAATACTAAGAATATAAAATCTAGTGTACAGTGTTTCATTTATTATCATCAGCAATATGAATAATAATCCAGATAACTTAAATAAAATAGGGCTATCCATTGAAAACAAAGATTAAATTTGACTGGAAGTAATTTAGGTACAGTGTGAGCAAAGAAAGACCCTTAGACAATGTGTTTGCTCTGTAGTTGATTCATTAAAACTAATTGTATCTTAACACAAAGTCATAATGCTTAAAAATGTGAATTGTCATGGGTTGTATTCTTAATACAAACCCAAATTTTGTCAGCCCCTCTTTTTTAGGTTGGAATCTTGCCTTCATTCTTTTTTTCTTTTTTGCAACAAAATCAAACTCAAGACCTTATGCTTGACAGGCTTCATCCCTGACGCTCTAAGTTGCAGTCTTAAAGTTCTAATTACTAAGGGCATCAGATTAATTTTGTTTTGTTTTGTTCATTGGTGCCGGGTATTGAACTCACGACCCCCAGCTTGCAATGCAGCTGAGCTAATAAATTCAGTCTTCATGGAAGAACAGCCCACGCTAAAATGTTTCTCTTCCTGCTCGGTGGCACAAATATCCTAATGACAGCAGCGCCATTCATTATCTCCTAGGTGTAAATATTTCTTGGTCAAAGGGAAACAAGAAAGGTTTGAATGACTTAGAAGGAAACAAAGAAAAAATGTAGAATATGTAAAAAGCAAGTGGAGGGTTAACACTAAATTTAAAGGTAAAATACTGCTCAACACTCACATGGAAAAAGAGACATTTGAGGCAGGAAGTTAACGATTTGGAGTCCCGCACGCACAGTTTAACCATTGGCGAGACCCTGTTTCAAAATTTAAATCTGGATAAATGGCAGAGAATGTAGCTCACTACAAAGCCTTGGGTTCAATTCCCAGTACAGTGGGAAAAAAAAGAAGTAAAGAAAAAAGAAAAAGACAGTAAAACCAAATAGGTTAACCACTGAAATCCTCTTTTAATTTTTTTAGAAATAATTTGGACTGGGAGAAAGCGTTTTTTAATAATAATATCATTATTTCTTCTGCTTTCTAGTGGCAATACTTTATAGTATGGGTACTGTAACCTAATAGAAAAGCTGTCCTAATACATTATAGTGTGATGAGTTTTAATGAGGAAATGTCAAACAACATGAATGAAAAAGTATCTTATTTTCATTTATAATATTAACAATGGAGCAAATGTGATTTATGTATTGTTTTTAATTTATGACATTTTAACAATTTATGTAAAATATTATAAAAATATTAGAGGTAAATAATAATAAGGTAAATGAGGTATATGTAAAATACTAATAAGGTAAAAGGACAGGGACAATTATTAATGTGAGTATAAATATAAGAAAACATGAGGATTGGTAGTATGAAAAATGGACATGGGAAGAATCAAGGCCAGACACTATTATAAATACAAATAATAACAAAAATAAAAATAAAAACATGAAGTACAAATAAATAAAATGAAAATAAGAGAAGTAGGCATATTCTTGACATAAGTAGGAAGAAAAATTAACTATTTCAGTGGAAGATATTATCTCAGAAGGGGAATTATATTGTCAGTGCCATAGAATTTTTCCAGAAACTCTAAAGCAACTAGACAGAGAAACTTTTGTGCAGTGAAAGCTATTACATTCATGAATCAATAACCGGAACATATCAGACTTTCATTTAAAATTACTAAATGGCTTTGCTTAAGAGAGAATTTAAATTCCTTAGTATAACACACAGGACATTTGGTCTCTGGTCTCTGTTTCTGGCTTCTCTCCACTTTGTCTTCCTGTTAAGATTCAGGGCTGGTTGCTTCTCTTAAAAGCTTTCTGGGACCCTGGATCCCAAACCCCCTCCTGTGTGTGAGTGACCACATTCTGTTTTGTTTTGTTTTGTTTTTTGTTTTTGTAGTTCCTATTGCTAGAGCAATTCCTAGGGGAACAGTAGAAGAAGGTGATCTTTGTAAAAACTGTAAAGAGTTAGAAAATGAAAGAGAAATCATATTTCTACCGGGTATGTTGTTATACATGTGATTAACTAGCCCTAAAACATCTTAAAACATCAGATAACTGTTAATTGCTGAGGAAAGATAATCCAATTAAACCCACCACAAATTTTAATTGTTTAGAAATTAGTTTCCTCTTTCTCTGTTTATAGTTTTGTGGGTAATCAATATTAGGATAATTTATTTTTATTTAATTTAGTAAACATTTGTTTTTGTATTACAAAATGTCTTTAGAAAGTGCTGAATTTTATTTATTTATTTATTTTTTTTGACTGGCTTTGATTTCATCATGTAGCCTAGGCTGGCCTTGAAATCATGGAGATCTTCTTGTGTCAGCCTCCTGAGTGCTGAGATTACAAGTATGCCCCATCATACCCAGAAAAAATATTGATTTCAAACTTGTACTCTGTTCTACACCATGTGCTATGTCTATCCTTGGTATTGACTGACAGCTTTGTTTTGCCGTATTTGACTGTATTCTTCCCCCCACCCCAAAGAAAGTAATAAGCACTAAGGAGTAATAAAATCCAAGATGTGTAAATTTTGTTGTAAAAAAGAGAGGGAAAAAAAAAAAAGAAAAAGAGCTCTAACGGATATAACAGCAAGTGTGTTTGGGGGTGTTAAATAGCTGACTTTATCAATGTTTTTGGAACATTGAACACAGCTGTTTGCAGTCTCCCTGTTTGAATGTCCACCTT